CTTCTTGACAGAGTTCATAAAAAGAAATATGTACTATGTATTCTAAAAATAACAAAAGCAGCAATAACAATAGTAAGAAAAGACTAATCATTTCCTGCAAGTGAAAGTTTTACACTGTTGCTGCATCACTGACTGTACTAACTATAATGAATAGTAAATCAAAACTGTATACAGAACCACATCTTGGCCTTCAAATGTAAATATTTAGAAAAGATCCCCGGTGGCACTACACATGCATTTATTTGAGTCGTCAGTGATATCATCTTCACCTCTTTTATCACTCCCTTTACTAATCCTGTCATCAGTAAAATAAATCTTATCACTTCCTTAACATAGAGGAATTTAATTGATGAAAAACATCCTATGCTTGTTTATCTACACATCCTGTGACATCTACATTCAAAGCTTCACCATAAACAAAATCTTTCACTGCCGACACAAAAGCAAAGGAACCTTCATCAACACTAGCTCTGACCTGCAATCAATCCCTAGAAACACAGAGGAAACTGAATACTCCAAATCTGCAAATCATATTAATACAGTTAGGATCCCCCTAAGCTATGCAAAGTTTGCTGAAAAATGAATCAACAAAATTCGCTGAGGAAGTTATGTGGTTAATGAAATTGGGTTTACAATAACTTCATGTCAGCTAACTCCTTCGCACCACCATCCACATTGGTGAAGATTTTTACATTCAGTTGAGAAAGACGACTTCATATTATACAAGAGTAATTTAAGATAAGTAATGCAAAGGATATGAGCTCACAACAACCAATCCATTACACAGTATTCTAAAAAAAGACTATATATTACCAACACAGTTGTCTGATGATACTGGCATCTATGAATAGCTTAAATCATGCAAAGGTGATCAAAGAAACCTTCACGAGTTTTTCTCTATCCATTAGCAATGCATAAGTCCTGATAGCAAGAGAGACAATGTAAAATACAAGCTGAAAATATAAACTCTTCAAGAGTGGAAAATAGAAATCCTGTACAATGACCATCATCCAAGATCAGATGACAATAGCTGTCTATGGCCCACTTGCTACGGTGCAGTAGCTATTCTAGAGGCATAGCAGGCAAAGGGAAGTCTCAACCAATCACTACAACACAAGGTACATGTATTTGTGAATGGCTTGGGTTCTATTCCGTCAAATAAACTAACATGGCCATTTTCCATCTGTAAAATATCTACAAGAATGGTCTCTATATTCTGCTGTTTCTATTCATCTTTCACTCCAATTCAAAAACCCCTTGCATGATCTCAGCTACCTATAACCACTGACGATGTAAGAATATCCGACAACAACATTGCTAATATACAACAGGTGAAATGCAAAATCCATTCAAAATCGTTACAAGTTCAAACCATCTGGCAAAGAAAACCAAATAACACGAAAAAAAAAAAAACTAAAAAAGAAATGGATGTGGCTGAGTGGCATCAAGATTATCCAATAAATACATTTTCTTCCCTTAAAAATAATGAATAATGGTACTCTTTGCTTCTCCAAGGTTGTTAGCTGAAGAAATTGATAAAACATATCAATAATAAACTGAAGAAGCAAAGAGTCTACCTTATGCTATTACAAACATTACATTCAATGAAAAACAGAAGTAGAACATAGAAAAAAAAAAATCTTGTTACAGCATAACACATTTTTTTTTATAATATACAGCTTTGAGTTTAATGTTATAACAATGTTAGTTTAATTTAGTTTCTTAATAATTTTAATGTTGCGCTATGACAGAGGGATTTACTTTTGAAGAGACAGCTGTCTACATTATAAAATTATCCTGCTAAGAGCCCCTAATTTTAATCATTTTAAATAAATCATATAAAACTTGTTACTACTCTTTAGTGTACTTAACTTCTTCCCAAAACTAAAAATATTCTCACACCCCTAAATGCAATAAAAATACAGGCCTATTTCTGAAAAATATCCTGCTCTATAAAAACCATAAATCAGCTCAGAACAACAATGACCACTTAAGTGATTATAGTCATACTATACTATCTATTTAAAGGCCGTCTTTTGCAAATGAAATATAACTTTTGAAGTGATCAACTTGATAAGCAAATTTCCAATTTGCATTCTTCTTCATCCATATCACAATTAGTAATGCGAGTCATGTAAACTTCCTATCTTTATTTAATTTTCAGAAATTCATGTCCCTTCATAAAACAGTACATGAGAAATATATAGATCGTGCATTTTCCTTTGACACTGCAACTAACAACTGAAGATTATCCATTACTGCAAGCTGTCTTCACAATTATCCCTCTACAATTTTCCATTTCTTTCTTAATTGGTATAGTACCCAGTTTCTATAAAACAAAAACCTCTCATTCTCCTACAGAATAAATGATATATACTAGTTGTAATTCCCTTTACATTAAGCACTCCAAGTGGAGAATGAGTATGAGATCGATTAGCTAGCTGTTAAGCAACAGTTGGTTATGTTATATATTGGTTATGATACATTTTAATATTTGTTAATATCTAATATACAAAATAAGAATAATAACAAACATAATAACTTAAGGTACAATTATAACATTTATGTCATGACTATGATCGTTAAATGATTTTCATATAATCTCTCAGTATTATTACTTATGCTATTACATGACTGGGTAATTTTCAGTTCCACTTTCTTATCCTCATGAAATGCATTCAGGCAAAATATTTTTAATCCCACCAATAAATTTGCGGAAATGGCATATACTAGTAAATGTCTAAGGTACAATGTACAAAATATATATCATGCAAAGATTGCATATGACACATTGTCAAGCTGAAAGACTTATATAATGTACATCATATACAAACTAATCTGATTTTCTTCACTATTCCTTACTGTATCAGATCTGAAATCTACATCAATAACAGATGTTTCAGAAACATATTTGAGAGGCTACTGCAATCACAGAGAATCCTATAGAAAATGGTATGAAGCAGTTTTAACTACAGAGGCAACTAGCATATCTACAAAATATATGTGTATATATAGAGAGTATCCTTCAAACTGGCTTTTTCTTTTCATATAAGTACTAACTGTAATCAATCTAAGCCCTCAAGGAAACTGCTGTGACCTTTGACTGGATACCTACTGTCACAAAGCCAACTGGACAGTGGCACAGTGTCAAGAAGCTGTCATGCCAAGAAGTTGTCATGGCCTCCACACCTGTCAGTATTCAGAGAAAGGCCAACAGAATTCCACCTTAATGGTCTGGTTCCTTATTTGATGCTAAACCACAAGGAAGGTCTTCCAACTTTCAGTGACATTATTAACAATTTTTTTGAGGTTGGAACGTCTCAGAAAATCTTTTTGGTTTAGATTTAACTTCCTCGAATAAAATGCATATAAAATAAGACCAAAATTTAGGACCAACTCAATGGTTTGTTATACATGGGAATCATCATACCATCTTGAGTAAATATTTGCATTAACCCCCCCCTTTTCTATGAGGTCCCCTTCATTGTCAATTACGTAATGCAAAAAATATAAATCCTTGATAAACCGATATTTGATCAGCTATGGCAATAACAAATTTGAATATATTTGAATTACCGAAGAAGAAAAAATAAAACTTATGGTTGTGTGGAACTGAAAATTACACAACAATCACTTTACATACAAATCAACACAGAAAACACAGCAATCAAACGTAACAAAAATAGTATAATAAACAAAAACGTCCTCAGACAAAAAAACAAAAAACAAAAAAAACATACTTTCCTTTCGGCAGACTGCTTGTAAAAGGACCTAAAGCTACCGATCTCTCAATTCACCACCACAGGCCTTACTGCACCTCCCTGCGCCTTCACGGGGTGGCCAACCGAGTGCGCTTCCGCCTGCTCGAGTCGGCGAGTCGCCCTCAAGGCCGCCGCTGAGTCACAGATCCTCCGGGAAGTCCTCGGGAAAGACTAAAGGTTACCCAAGCAGAGGGAAAAGGGGGATGGGCCAGGAGCCGCTCGCCTCAACACGCCTTCTCTCCTACCATTGGCACTAACAACAGGCGGGCTGGTGGTCCTCGGCGCCCCAGCGATGGCACTCACCTGCCAGGGTGCGACCGCCGCTGCTAAGAGAAATCCTACGGCCTTGGAGGGCGATTACAGGGAAACCGCAGGAGTTGTGGAAAACAACATTCTAGCCAGCTGGTGCATAAGCGCCGTGAATCTCGCGGCGGCAAGGGGATTGGATTCCATGATTGACAAAAGACAATTCCTTAAATCGTCTCCGAGAGGCCATTATCGTCTCGGATCCTCTTTGACGGAAGGCGATGGACATTCTGATCCTCTCTTGCCCACACGGGATCCTCTCATGGAAACTCTTTGCCATGCCGTTATGATTGAGGGCCATATAAGGAAGACAGGAGAGTGTTCATTCATATTGTGGATGTAACATGATGCTCAGGATGACTACAGAGGCATCTATTGATATAGTTTATAACTACTAAAGAAGAACTGGAAAACAATTGCATTTTGCTGTCATTTCCAAGTTTTATCTCGATGAGCTCTTAAATTTTTACATATAGTAGTAAATGGTAAAATTTGTCCTGTCCTTTTTGTGCAATGCCCCAAATATAAGGTATCAGTTATTTTATATATCATTTTAAAATTTACCACGGGGCAACTTACTCATATGACGTCACTAATGTTGCGAGAAAAGGACGTCATTGATGTGGAGTGATGTCATCACTGCAGACAGAAATGACAGTATCAATACATAGATAAGTGGCACCACCAATACAATGCCAAAGTAACACAAAGAGAATACAACGTCATCAGTGCCATAAGAAACCCAAGGCCAAGTACCGTCACAAACTCCCAGCGACAAATGACATCACGCCTATAACCATCGCATGACGTCACCAACGTAACCAGCCCGACGAAGTTTCCATTCCCTCCCAGCGCCATCTATCTTCCATCCTCCAAACTAAACCCCCATCACACCCTTTCCCACTCCCCCCCGCACAGCTTTCCCATCCTCCCTCGCCCCAACCCCCTACGATGGCCTGTCTCGCGTCGAGTAATTTCATCCGACGCTCAGTCTCCCTCAGACTCCTGCCGCTGACCCTCGCCTCTTCGCGCAGGAGGCTTGTCAGACTTCCCCATCTGCCTTTGGTAAATCCTAAGACGTCGAGGTAGGCTAGGAAGACCAATAAATACATGACCCTCTCTCTTTTTTTTCTAAGCCTGGAGAATGCAAGGTCGTTTATTTTTCGCCGTGTGCTTCCTCTCGGCGGTGAGCCTTTTCCCTCTCTCTCTCTCTCTTCTCTTCTTCTCTCTCCTCTATTTCCCTTTCCGTAGAGTGTCACGAGGCGAGGCAAGGACCGAAGGATAGAAGAACGTAACCTCTTTAGTGAGAGTGTAGAAATTATTGTAGTTTTATCGCACTTTCTGGAGTAATTGGCCGAGAACGAGGGCGCCGGCGGGTGTGTTGCACGGGATTGCAAATGCCATCAATACCAGAGGCTGTTGATTGCAATTGCATGGGGTTTTAAAGACAGTAGATTGCAGAGATTGGTTATTGTTTATTATAAGGACTGATTTGTTAATGACATGTCGTTTTCATTTATTTTATTTATTTACACCACACGTGGCATGTTGCAGACGCTATTTGACGTATTGCAGAAAGGAAGCACGTGCCGGTAAAAAAAGAAAAAAAAACTATTTCTGTATAATTCATTTGCTAAAGAAAAAAAGCTATTTCTGGATATTTCTTATGCGTTCGACGTTTGCAAAGTACTTTCTGTCATAGAGAGTAGAGATTGACAGACCACGTACTAATGGTAAAAATAGTTATTTCAGTGACTGCCATTTCAAAGTTGCAATTGAGGAACATATTTTCACCCTTTTTATTTTTTTTGCACAGTCTTAATTTTGTAGTAAAATGTAATTTCCATGTTGGATTCACAGTAGGTTCTTTGATAGCACGAGTGAATGGTATTTGAAGTTATATGTTGATTGCAAATCTTATTGATTTTTTATTGAAAGGACAATTAAAGGTTACTTCTATGGGTATTTTCAAGGTAAATTTCTAGAAAAAAGGCACGCTCTAAAACCCATCAGATTTAGTTTTTTTTGTGTGTATTTCGGCTTCAATAATGCAAAACTAGGAGACATATCGTAGTAATGAGTTATTAGTATTGTACTTGATTAATACTGATATATAATAAACATTATTGGGAAATGGCAGGGTTAGATTATGCATTATTTGTGTATATTTATTATTTTCCGGGGCTCTCCCTAAAACCTTCCTTATGGTGAGACTGCTGTATAAATCTCTTGTCATATCTTGCTGGCAGGATAGAGCCCAGATAGGCTTCGTGAGTGACATCACTGCCGAGTTCAGATGGAGGTTCCCTTTAACGTTTCCTCGTAACATGCTCAGGGGTAACGTACTGTGCCTGTTATGGGAGGGTTTGAACGTTCATATTATACTTGATTATTGATTCTGCTGGCTGTTGTTGCTACATTTGGTTGGTGTTAAATGTAGAACGGTACAGAGGCATGAGACAAGAAAATCTCCTTAGTCTTGAGTGGCATAAGGCTGGATGAGATAGCAAGGGTGTGGTGTTTACCTTTCTCTGATGCAAACATGTTCTGCAAAGCGGAAATTGATCCCTTGTGATAACATCCCCATTAATTATTTGTAATGTCAGTTTGCTTTGTTATCATAGTTCTGTCTAATTTGTGAATTATATATGGCTACGTTGTTTCATCAGCATGCCATTGTGATATTTATCTATGGTAAACTGTGTGTAGGTTATATATTTTGAACTTTATTTTAGTTGGGTATAATTGTGTGAGAATATACAAAAACCAGATTCAAAGCAAAGAAGTTTTTCATTTTATCATTATATTTTTTTCTGTTCTTTTGCCTGTGAAAGGTTGATACGCATGTAGCCATTAATAGAATTTTCTTATTGTTTTTGCTCATTCTTTAAGGGAAACCTATGTTTTTTTTTTTACCCCATAACCTCTGGAAAGTAGTCTAGATCACCCCCTCCCCCTTTTTCCATAATGTGACTTGCACTTTTTGGTATCTTATTCAGAAAAGTACAGTGGAAAACAAGTTGAAACACTCTTGTCATATAGCTAATCACCTCGGTTGACGCTCCCTGAATGGGTCAGTACTTCTCTAGAAATAAGTACTAATATCCTTTTGTTTCCTCAGGTCCGCAACATGAGTGACGAGGTGGCGGCCGCTAAGGCTGCGTCCTCCGAGAGCAAGCACCAGCCCACCATCTTCGACAAGATCATTGACAAGTCCATCCCGGCCGACATTGTTTACGAGGATGACAAGTGCCTGGCCTTCCGTGATATCTCGCCTCAGGCACCAACACACATCCTGGTGATTCCCAAGAAGAGGCTGGCCATGCTGAGTGATGCTACTGAAGAGGATAATTCTGTAAGAAATGGTTTATGGTTGTCTGGTTCAGGTGGTCATAGTCAGTGTTTGGTTTAGACATTAAGCACTTTACAGTTGATGGCTTTCGGGAATAGAGGTGAATCAGACTGTTGGAATTAAATTCATAGATGGTTGGAATGATGATGATAGTTAAGTAATGATGATAAGTAAAGTTTAATCACAAAGGTAAACAGTTAAATTTCAAATAGAAAGGCTGAACCCTTATCTGTCCATGTATGTATATGTTCATGTATGTGTGTTTGTAAATAATGTAGTAATCTTTGACATTGATAAGATTTCAAAATTTGTTTCAATGGCTATGGTTTTAATCATCTTTGAGCATTGTTAAACTTTTTTTTTGATACAAGACTTTTATTTGGTTATTTTTTTCCAGCTTCTTGGTCATCTCCTGCTTACTGCAAACAAAGTAGCTGCTCAAGAGAAACTTGACAATGGTTTTAGGATTGGTAAGTTTAAATGCCTGGTTTATTTTGTAATATGTTCAATGAGCATTTAGCAAATGTATATCTGTCAAATATTATGTTGCTAATCTTATTGATAATTTGGCAATTAAATTCTGAAATTTGTTTGGTTATTGTACAATGACAATTTTAGAGGGTAGTTACTCAAGCCAGTCTCCTGAATTGATTAAACAGTTTATATATGCAAAGGAGCTTGTCATTAATATAAAAAAGTTTTGAGTAATGGGTCCTCACAAGCAATAAATGTGAATGAGCCTTCACAAAAAATTTTGAGTAATAGTGACGCTGTTTATTCATTTTGAATATTCCTTTTCAGTGATCAACAATGGAAAAGATGGGGCTCAGTCTGTGTACCACCTCCACCTCCACATACTCGGTGGCCGCCAGATGTCCTGGCCTCCTGGCTAAGACAGGGTGCTGAGGAAGCTGTATACAGTCAGGCCACTTTTTGAAAGAAGTCAGATCATTGAGATACCTATATGTTAACTGCATCTATAGTGATTTGTGTAATGAATTTTCAGACTTGTGATGTAATCCTCTATTCTCTGTGCATATTTGTCATATCACCAGTTTGGCTCCAAGATGCAAAGTACCCTATGATAAATACTTAAATCTGCAGGGTAGGCTTAGCTGGTTGAGCAGTGTTTTCAATAACATTTCACATAATGGCTGTGTCGAAATATCTACATTTCTGAATTATTGCTTGAGAAAGTTGTAGCAGCACTTTCCATGTTGATTCACAAGCTAGTAATTGTGCCCTAAAGTTTTAAGATATTATTGATATGACATATCTGTAAGTGGCCTACTGTATAAGCTATTAAAAGAATAAACATGAGTAGTCACACCAAGCATATTTTTGTTCTTCATTTTATTATTGGTTTGATTATTTACATTTGTATATCCTGGATGACCATGAAATCATCCAATGGGCATCATTTAACAGATTTGATTGTGACTATAAATGTGCTCCAATAAATATAAGTAAATGATATGTGTTCTGTTGTCTTTTACATTATTACACCAAATTATTATAAGAGGTTCTAGTATATTGGATGATATAGAACAGATATTTGTTTTACTGTTAAATATAAATTAATTTTACTTTCAGTTAGATTTAATAGGTATCATCTGTCCCTAGACATTCTGCATTGAATGTTGAACATAACATCTACAAAGGAATACACTAAGTGCAATCCATGTTGGGTTCCCAGGCAATGAAAAAGTAGATATCTTAGCATGGTCTGCCGCCTTGTCCACAATCCACCAACCCTGTTTTTCATACATTCCAGCCACTAACTACTGTTCCCACTTGAAAACTTTCCCTTTAATCATTAGCCATCTTTCTGGTCAAGTCTGACCACCCATAAACTATAAACCATAAAATGTTCCATCTCTTTTTGGCACCATACCACTAGAGATGAGATGTTGAGAAACTACCCTTGCCCATTTACAAATAGGTCACCCCTGTCTCACACGTTCATACCTCGTGTCACGCTCCAACCCACCTCAGTGCTGCTTGTGCAATGTTCCTCTTTCAGTCCCACATATCCTGCTATCTTGTTCTTTCTTTACTGATGCCTGTACCCTCACTTTTCCTTACTTGTCCTCTCTTCCCCGACCCCCCCAACCTGTTGGACATCCTCATGGAGTCCCCCACCTTTTCAATTGACAACTTATTCTCCTTCCTAAGATGCATAAATACCCTTTTGGTCTAATCACCCTTTATACTTAACCCCTTCTATCAACCCCTATCCTAGCACCATTTACTCGCCCTCTTTCTACCCCTTTCACTACCATACTATCTTTTAATACTATGACAAGTGAAATCTAAGACATTTCAATCTAATAAGGAACCCCTTTAAACCCCTTTCACTACAATACCTTACCATAGTGCTGTATGACCTTTGATGTCTAGCACATTTATTTATTTAAAGCATTGACTATTAACCATTTGCGTTGGTGCCTAGTGGTCGCAGACCATCGATCTTGGAGTAGCATTTGGCTCAGGATGTGTGACATTGTGGCCCCACTGACATATACTTACAATTGTCTCCATGGCATCTACAGCTCAAACAAGAGACATAATTTCCTTCTTG